GATGCATGTCTGAAATACTAACCCTTTAATACAGGGGAGGGACAAAAAAAGGGGGGGAGGGATGTATGCTTTTTTTTAATCTAAAAATACAATTATAGTTTTTGTTCCTTTGAATTATGGAAAGGTCAAAATCCATGTTTATTATATTACCTACCAAATTATTTCGAGAGTTTCTTCCTGTGCTTTTATTCAAGAATGGAGAATCATGTCTGATATGTATGGATTTGCATTCTCTGTGTTAGAGAGACAGAAACACAGAGAAAGGGAAGCTGTTGTTCTTGCTGCCACAATTTTCTACCATGTCCTTAAGGTGGTAATAAAGAATTAAGCTTGTGTAGCTGGGCTTCCTGCCTGAAGCAATTGAAGAACAGACTCTCTATGAGTGGCACTGTTACTTGGTTTTTTTTGTTTTTTTTTAACAATGGCAGTTTTTATCTTGTCAAGATTATCTGCTCTTCAGTTACAATAATTAATTTTTTTATATGAATGAATGAAGGCCATTCACCCTGAAAAAAAAAAAACCTACAGCCTCAGTTCTCAGGGCTCCAAAAAATGGATTCCACTTTGACGCACTTAAGCAGAACACACTCCCATGTACTTGTAGCTGTTCTTTTCTTGTCCAGTTGTGCCATATTCCACAGAATATCTTTTGATATTGAGAGTTTTCATAGAATATCTCTCCTCTTATATTTAAAAGTGATAGGCAGCAGCAACAGTAATATGATTTTCTACTGATTGATGGTCAGATTGGGACTCCCCAGTTATGTAATATAATGTCCTAGAATGGTTTAGACCTTTTGGGGCATTAAAATAACTGTTCTTACATTGCAATGTTGGAAATGAAATGTCCACATTAGGTAACTATAGTGGATGTTGCAGCTGCCCCATTAGAACAAGTGCTAAAAAATACCAATGCATGCTTGGCCTACATTAAAAGGATGGTGCTGAAATCACAGGAGATAATATTTCCATTGCACTCTGCATTGATTAGACTAGAGTTGGACAACTACATAGGAAAAAGAAATGGGAACACAGCTAATTCTAATTCAGTATACAGTAACCTAACCTCACACATGCCTTGGGCCCATTTATTCAAGACAGAGATGTACAAGTAGATCACAACAGAGGAATTAGAAAGGGAATTAAACATGAGATGTGGGAGTGAGAAGAATGAAGACGAATGAGGAACTGAAAGAACTCAGACTGGACAGACATACTAAGATAAACAAAAAATTAGATCAGACACAAATAACATCTGAATAATAAACAGACTTGGAGGAATGTATGGTCACTCTTAAGAAGACATAAGCAAGCAGAACCGCACCAAATAACTGCTCAATTATTCCATTTTCCTCTCCCTCTCCACCCATTTCCCAGCAGATTAAGCTGCACAGCAAGCAAATGTTAACAAGTGAAGTGAGAAAATATAAGCAGAAACAAACAAACAAAAAATGTCCAGCCCTCAAATAGTTTTTCAAGGCTGTCTATTAAAGTAAAATTCACTGGCCAGCTACTCATATGACTGAGAGTCTGCCACAACAATCAACTGCCTTTCTCTGTGTTTCCCACATAAGAAATTGCCCTTGCAAACTTGCATATACTTGTTACAATACCAAAAGCAGCAGAAAAGTTAACATTCCAAACAAAATGCTTTGAAAACTTCCAATTGGATCCACAGTTTCAGAGCTAGGCCTCATTTTGATAGAGGGGTGACTTGAGCAAAGTGTCATCAAATCAAATTACCTTTGCACTGTCTTATTAAAAAAGAACAATAAATGTCCATTTTCTGTTTATTTTGCTTGTGGAATAATGCCTTTCTGCCACAACTAATTTCCATATATGATATGTCTTTCAAAAATTTATCCTTTCCTCTAGATCAGGGGCTGTAAGTGTTGCCATGAAATTGTAATTTTTTTAATGTGACTGGGTAACCCTGCTCTTCTTAACTTTCCTGACACATTCCTCTATGCCTCCCTCTCGATCGTGTGGCATTCCTAGTCTTTTTTCTATCGGGGGGTCAACTAAGATATCTGAGAGATATCTCCTTGGTGCTGCAATATCACTCTTTTACTCTTCAGTAACTGAAGAAGCTTCTCGAATGACAAGTGAAACATTTTCAATGAAAAAAAAAAAGAAACCAAGAAAATCCAGTTGCCTTTTAAAAAGCACTTTTGGGATGCAAAGAATTGTGCAACAGAGCAGTTCACTCAAATGTACCCCCTTCCTCAAAAAAGTTATTTGAACATACAAAATAGAAATTATGTACAAATATGTTCTTTCATCAACAATTTATGAAAAATAAACCCAATATTTCTCTCATTGGTAATTAATGGTTAAAGCTTCCCCCTCTTTGTTTGATACATTTTTCTGGCTCATGGCCAGATCTGTTTCAGGCGGCTTCATTCACTTTGAACCAATATCCTGGAAACAAAACAAAGATTCAGCAGTATAGTGCTGTCTAGTCACATTTAGGATTAACAGCCGTCTCCTCTCTTTATTAAACTCACCAATCTATAACAGTCACTGCTGTTTAGGTCCATCTTAGTTGCCAGATGCTGTATCTCTTCTATTCCCTTTCTATCTCCACTCCTTGTTCTTCTTTCTAGGTTTCCTCTTGTAATTTAAAATTCCACCACTGATGCCAGTTCAACAGATCCTTCTTCTCTTCTGGGAATATCTTTCTATGAGAAATTAACTATTGAATTACTCTGAACTTCTCTTCAGCAAACTAAAACAAAACCATTCTTTGGGTTTCTGAACAGAAAATGTTCAGAGAATGTTGTTCCTCTAATTCTTTCCTACAATAGCTACTAGCTGTCCAACTAATTCTCTCCCCTTGGTTGTCTCCATCCTTTCCTGATAAGGAGAAAGAACTTAACGCCACATGAGTTATTTGATATAATTTTAACTCATTTAAACATCAAATACATTCCATCAAATTTTACCTTTGTTTTTGTCCCACCCATTTGCCCTACTGTAGCTACTTTATGGACTAATGTCTAGTGCACATCACTCCAAAGCTGTCTGTCTCCATTTCTAAAATGTTGCATTCAGGATATTTATAGCTTGCCATTCATCACGGAGATCTAGGCAGCTCTCCAGAAAAGAGTACTTTTTACTATATATTTTAAAAAGCTCTAAAGACAGAAGTAATGATACTATGTATATTTCAGTCAATATTATATCCTTTTGAAACAGTCAAACAAGAAAATAGTGAGGACCTGATTTATGGGAGAGGCAAGTGAGAAGAAACATAGAAACAAACAGTATTGCTAGAACAAAGTTGTAAATATTCTTCCAAGGATTCATTTGGACATTTTCAGCATTTTCATCAGGAACAAATCAATGTAGGTCTTCAGACTTGTAACCTGAAGAAAAATCACTTTGGTGTTTGATAGTGTTTCTCTCATTCAGACCAAAGTTTTCCTTCCAAGTAGTGGCTGAATAGAATTAAACCCAGGTCTGTGGTAGGTTCCTATGAAACTTGAATTGGCTTTCAACTGTACAATTCCATCCTTCCTTCTGTGTGATTTGCTACCTAGTCCCATTTTCTAGCTATGATACAGGAACGTGAGCTTGTGATTATATATAGATTGCAAGAGTGGAAAATGGTTGGCTTGTGAATGAATTAATGTACAGTATGTCCAATCTCCCATCTATCCATTCATCCTCTATTCTTTCCAAGTCCTTTTTCCACTTGCTGAGCGGCACTGCAGTATGTCCTTGTGGAGAAATATGTGGAAAGAAAAGTTGAATGAAGACTATAACTCACCACCAGAGAAAATGAAATATGTTCTTTAAATTAAATTGTTCCACATAGACATTGTCATTGTTTTTCATGGATGTTTTCATTACACAATTGCTCATAAAGTTTTTCAGAGTAATGAAAGCAACATCTTTCTTTCTCGCTCTCTCTCCCCCCTCCCTTTCTTTCTTCTCTTCCCTCTCTCCCTCCCTCCCTGCTTCCTTGCTTTGTGTTCCAAGGAGAGAGCAGAAAGGTAGAAAGGAAGAGCAATGAAAGGACATGGTTAACAACAGAAAGAGAGAAAAAAATAGATCTCCCAAATATATCTGGTAGTTGTTGCCTAATTATGGTCTTGCACACAATTCCATAATTAGAAACTGTCAGCCCACCTGTGCAAACCAGACAGGAAACATGATTAGATGAGTTAATTCTACCTTACTGTAAGGTTACATTAACAGAATCTTGCAAGTCTGAAGGTCCAACTGCCCACCACTCCTTTTAACCACCTGATTAATTAGGGCAGATACTTCCTACATTTCGTTCTCTGACTGTTAATCCATCGGGAGCTCCTCCCTCACTTATCGGATTGTTTCCTAGCCCAGCAATCCACAAACTTTCCAGCTTGGGGGCCCGGCCCAGCCTGGCCCAGCGCAGGGGAGGCATGTGAGTGGCAGATGCACACCAGGGGTGGGTTCTATTTACCTTTACTACCGGTTCGCAACAGGACCATGCACAAGCAGAAGATGACGTCAGGGTCGGTGGGCGAAGCCTCTCACTGGTTTTATTACCGGTTCTATAGAACCGGTGCAAACCAGGGGCACCACCACTGATGCACACATGTGTGCACAGCTCCATTTGTGCAGGCGCAAAGCTCCATTCACGCGAGCGGAGGGCACTTTGCACGTGTGTACATGCTTGCCTGCTGCTTGCACAAGTGGAGCTTCATGCACGCACGCTTGCCCCTTTCTCCCATGGCCTGGTTTCAACAGGCCACACCCTGGTAGTAGGCTGCAACCACCACAGCTCAATAACATTCATAATTTCTTCACCATTTGGATTACTGATTTCATTGGTGAAACTAGATATACTTTTCAGACTTTACACACATTTTCACTTGACATGCTTTTCTACACTGACCAGAAAGACAAAATAGATCCATGTATTGGTGGTACAGGTCATCATAATTAAGGCACTCAGTACAGAAAAAAGTACAAGATTTTTCTTTTGAAAAAAAAAAGCACAATTTGTTAATTACCTGTAGCATGGAAATCTGGCTATTTTTTTCTTGATATTCATATCTTCTATAAGCTAAGCTTGTGTGTATTCAGGAGTAGATTGAGGAGTTTCTCTTTCCAGAAAAGTGTGTATCAGATTGTCGCCTTGATCTCTTAAAGTTGATTCTCTCTCTTCCTATTTTTAGAAATAATAAAACTTTCTGCACTTTCAACAACCTGGGTAATGAAAAAAGAAAATGAAAAGGAATTCATCTTTCATATGTTTTTTCTATTACAAATATATTTTATATATTTTTCTACTGTAGAGATACAGGTAGTTGTCGATTTGCGACCAAAATTAATTCAAACCCAAAATTATAGTCATAAGTCATTATGATCAAAAGTCAAACATCACGCTTCTGAATGGAAAATAACTTTACAACAACACAGTACGATTGACTTGCAGGGCCGCGCAATATGCAATAAGTTCACATGGTGCAGTAGGATTGTGTGCTTGTTAGTAGGATTCACTGGGTTAGGGATTTTTCTTTTACTGTCTTTCACTGTGAGTTGTATTGAGTTGTGGGGGTGCACAAAGGGAGGCTCGGCCAATCTCATTGTATACATGTTGTATTCTGACAATAAAGGTTTGAATTGAATTTGCATGACCAGATTAAAAATTACATTTTTGCAACAGTCATTAAGCAAATGTTAAGCAAACCTGGGGCATTTATTGCTCCATTTATTGCTGGAATACAGAAGTAAAAGAGTGCAATACTGCAGGCTACTTCTGCTGACTGCCAGCTGCTAGCAGTTCGAATCTCACCGGCTCAAGGTTGACTCAGCCTTCCATCCTTCTCAAGGTTGGTAAAATGAGGACCCAGATTGTTGGGGGCAATATGCTGACTCTGTAAACCACTTATAGAGAGGGTTGTAAAGCACTGTGAAGTGGTATATAAGTCTAAGTGCAATTGCTATTGCACAATTGGTTGTAAATTGAGGAATATCTGGCTGTAGTGGCTATTTGGCCCAGTTCATTTACATGTTTTTTTTTTTTGCCTTTAGTTTATAAAATTATACACTCTAACCCAATCAATTTATCAACATAATCAACTCACTGATTAATAATTATTATTTGATACATCCCAAATGAGCAAACGAGATTAATGGGTAGAAGTTCTTTGTCCAGGAAGATAATTATTCAATTATGAATCTCTGGTAACTTCACATTGTTTTCAAGATACCAACATATAGCTCTGATATTCTCTGGAGATCTTCTCTTCAAGTATTAACCAGGGCTAATTCTGCTTAGCTTCCAAACTTAGAAAATATTGGACAGGTGCTAATACCTGCAAGGACAAAAATGGTTAAAAAGTAAAAAGAATAGTGAGTTTTGTGCAATTGTGTAGGAAACAGAAGGAGTCAATACATTCAGAATAAGAACTGTGAATAAAGAAGCGTATATTTTTATACCATCAATGACATCAAAGGCCTTTAAAAGGTATTCTCAACACACAGCAGTGAAAATAATGAGATGTAACTGGATTGTTGACAACTGTTTTTTGCTTGTGGCAGCAACACTAAATAATAACCATTTTTCTCATTTCAGCGTTCAGGCGGTGCCTTAGCTATTCCTCTGTGTGCATTTCAAGGAACTGTGTCTCTCCAAGCTCCCACAGGAAAAACCCTCTCTTTATCTACATATGAGGTAAGCTCAGAAGGACAAAAAATCACTCCCACATCCAAGAAAATTGAAGTGTATCGCTCCAAGAGTGTGGGCCATGAGCCAAATCCTGAGGATTCTCCAACCACATTTACTGACACCAATGTGAAGATTCACTTAGAGGTGCTTGAAATTTGTGACAATGAAGAAGCCATGGACACTGTTTCTATCATTAGTAATATTAGCCAATCGTCTGCCCAGGTCCGTTCTCCATCTTTACGTTATTCTCGGAAAGAAAATAGATTTGTCTCATGTGATTTAGGAGAAACAGCGTCTTATTCACTCTTCATACCATCAAGCAATCCCAACAGTGATCTGAACATCTCCATTCCTGACACTGTCGAAGCTCACAGGCAGAATAGTAAAAAACAGCACTTGGAAAAAGAGGGTTATCAAGAAGAAATACAAATGTTAAACAAAGCATACAGGAAAAGAGAAGAAGATGGGCTTGGCAATTAAAACAGAGAAAAAAGGGACTGTGAATAATTTGTACCCTCATTTTTTAAGTTTGCTTGGACCCTGAACCATTTATTCATGGCATTTGAGGAAACAATTGAATAACATTAATGCATTCATAACAGAATGCATTAATTACATCCTTTGTCCAAAAGCTGTTTTAAGCAGTATTGCTATATTCCTTAGGAATAGGGTATCAGGAAAGGGCAGATTTCCCTCTCTGCCTTCTGAAGAATTACTGTTGGAAGTTTGCTTGATGAGGTAACTTAAATCTCTACTCTTAATGCCAGTTTTGCCGCACTAGCAGTGGAGCCAAAAGTGAGGCCTTTGAGGGATACGTAAGGGAGGCTGTGAATCCTGGATTAAAAATTGAGGTTAAAGGATTGCAGCCTCCCAGCCAACAATCTCAGAGGGACCATGAGTTACCTCGGGCCCTCAGTCTTCATTAAAAAGAAAATGGATTTCTAGCTTTTATGGAATTTGAGAAGGGAGGCAAAATGAATTTAGCCTCAACCTTATGATTACATTGTAATATTTTTGATAAAAGGATAAAGATGGTTTCGACTTCCCACCTAGCCTACAGCTCTGGCATTCTTTAATGGTATGATATCCAATTACTAACCAGACCTGACTCTGTTTGGTTTCCAAACCCAGACCAGCTCCACCAGGTGCAGCACTATTCAGGCTATTCCTTTCACCAGAAAGGAAATAACTATCATCTTTCAGTGTATTTAGCCAATATAACAATAGCCGTGAGTGGCCATTTGTGAACAATGTTGAGTGTAGAGATTAATGCAAAATGGCTACTTGTTTACAGAAAGAACATTTTGGTCATAACCCAATGATCTTATTACCCTCTTGGAATAGTGATTAATGACCAACAAACATTATGGATGTCATAGACAAAATAGGAAAACCATTGTAAGCAACTAGCACCATCAGAAACTAGATCTGCTATGAAAGCTATGAATATACAGAATGCTATATACTGCTTTCATCAGAATGTGGTTAGGGCTAGGTTGAATCTGGAGAGCTCATAATACTTTTTCTCCTATTCAGTTTAGAATAGAATAACAGAGATGGAAGGGACCATGGAGGTCTTCTAGGCCAACCCCCTGCTTACGCAGGAAACCCTACACCACTTCAGACAAATGGCTATCCCACATCTTAAAAACTTCCAGTGTTGGAGCACTCACAACTTCTGGAGGCAAGTTCTTCCACTGATTATTTATTCTAGCTGTCAGGAAATTTCTCCTTAGTTCTAAGTTGTTTCTCTCCTTGATTAGTTTCAAGCCAATGAGAGAGAAGTAATATAAAGAAACCAGCTCCATCTCTCATTCTGACCTCAAAAAGCCAGTTGGGTGTCATACCTAGAATCACAAAAATATTTTCCCTCCCTTTCCATTGGATTTACACAACCTATGCATGATTTGAAATATTGAAACCACTTCTAACTGGAATAGGACAGACAGACCCACAGACAGACACAGAAAGAAAGAAAGAAAGAAAGAAAGAAAGAAAGAAAGAAAGAAAGAAAGAAAGAAAGAAAGAAAGATATAGACTTTTCCTAATTTAATACTTCTACCATTTGTTTTAATTTTTAATACTGGCCTAACTCCATGTGGATATAAAAGTGGAGGTGGTCAAAAGCTATTTTCCATTGGAGTATTATTACGCACACACAAATGCTGTGTGTGTTTGTACAAAGATACACAAAATTACCTGCACTTTTTAATTCTTATATTCAGTTTTTAATTTCCTAAATCTGAAATATGTCTCTCATATTTTGAAATAATTGTTCTGTGCTGCAAAAACTTTAAAGTCTTGTTGCTTGCTTTAGCACTGAGAGTTTTATCCCAGTATTTGCTGAGACACAAATTGAGCTCCAGTAGAATTATTACAAAAGTTGCCACAATGTAAGTAACCAAGAAATAATTGATTTTACAATCCATTTTTCATCTTTAATAAACATTCTACCCAAGAACATGACTTTATTTTGCTCTCCTTTTTAGTGATTTATATGTGACTGGCCATCTTTCAATCAATCATTTTATCTGTGGAAAACAACTAATTTTGTGTTTGATGTATTCATTTTCAGATTTATTCTTCTAATTGCATTATATAATCCAACACCATTTTATACCATTCAGGTTTTCTGCAAACATTGCATTGTGTACATACAAAAGTGCACACATGCTGAAATCCATAAGCAACTTACCTCTAATGAACACAAGCATACATTTAACCATCAATATATTACACAACTATGAGATCATCACATGCCCTGGTTTTATTCCCTTCTCAATGTTGAAACATTTGTCAAACGCTTAATTTTTTTGTCACTCGTTCTTTACTTCCATCATATAACACTTTTACCATATTCAACAGCCTATAGTCAACTCCATATCTCTGCAAAATATTTCGTAATCCAAGTCTGTTTACTTTATCATATGCCTCCTTTAAATCAATAAGCATATAAGCAATGGAATTTAGTTTTTCAAATCTCACATCAGTCTCGAAAGTGAGAAAGAAGTGTGGCTCCAGGCAGAAACGTCAATAAACTGGGGGCAATATTGTTCCAAAATTCATTATAGGAAAATAACTCTTCATCTTTCTTGCACTGTATGAAAATAGTGTGAAATCCAGAGACATTCTCAACAGCTTGCTGTGTCCAAAAAGCAGGGGTGAAATCCAGCAGGTTCTGACAGCTTCTGGAGAACCAGTAGTGGAAATTTTGAGCAGTTCGGAGAACCAGTAGCAGAGAACCGGCAAATACCACCTCTGGCTGGCCCCCGAGTGGGATGGGATTGGAGATTTTGCAATATCTTTCCCCCAGGAGTGGAGAGACAATGGGCGATTTGCACTATCCTTCCCCTGGAGTGGGATGGGAATGGAGATTTTGCAGTATCCTTCCCCTTCCCCACGCCCACCAAGCCACGCCCACAGAATCGGTAGTAAAAAAATTTGGATTTCACCACTGCCAAAAAGGTATATTCTGATTTATATATATATATATATTAAAATATAGCTATTACAATAAGGTTTGAATTTAATTGAATTTAGATGGACACATTTTGATGCTTTACTGAAAACTTGGGAGTTCCTTCAAGTGACCTATTTCCACAAGGATCAACAGTGCATAGATTTCAAAGGAGCCATCATACACATACAGGGAATTGCTGATTAAGTCATTCTTAAACTGTCCATATTCTTGTGATTTTGATAGGAAAGATGATAGTTTACTGCTCTTGTTTACCAGTTCTATTTTTAATCTGCATTGAAGTCATCAGTCTGTTAGTTAAGATGATTCATTTATCTTTTCACCTTTCCTTGATTTTCATCAACTTCAAAGAGAATTTTTCAATTAGGGCATTTTGAACTGTTCAAATTATTGATTCGGAACTCCTGTCATGGTGTGTTTTGAAGTCATTGAAACTGCAAACCACAAATGTGGAGAGCGTTTTGACAATTTTAAAGAATGGGCTAAATTGAATTTTTGCAGACTGAAATGTCCTATTTTCTATTAATTTTTTGAGACTATAATGACTATACACAGAAACTTCACCATACTTCCAAGAACTTGTTATTGGTAGTTGTGCATTTATCTTGCCTTAGGTAAAACCAGTTCAGGACTCAACCTATTGTAAGGTAATGTACTGTTGTAAAAAAAGCACTGTTCACCCAGGCTATAGATGGCATTCTGTTCAGTGGCCAACTGGATTCTGTTTCATTTCAATAAAATTTTGAAATAATTGAATATCATTTATCCATTAAGAGTTATTTGCATTATATTAACATTTAATTATCCCTTCCTATTGTTTGTTTGAGAACATTAGAAATAGTGAATTGCTTATCATTTTTAGAAAACCAGATGGATTTAAAATTTTAAATCCTTTTAAATCTCTAATGAGTTATTCCATCCTTTTCTTCTCTGATTTTTTCCATCTTTCTGACCTTTAATAAGCTTTAGAACATAGTATTTGACATTTCTGGCAGAAAGATGGTTGTCAAAGAGATCTTTTTGAAGGTGATTTGAAAGAAATGTGATCCAACCAAACTGCATGTGGGATTGAACAAAAAAATACAGACATTGAACAGCAGTAATTTTAGGCTACTGAGTAATACATTTTACTTCACATTGAAATTTGGGAAGTTCACTGTTCAAAACATTTTCTTCTCCGTGTCCTTTCACATCTCAATTTCTATTTAATTGGACTATAATTTAGAACATCAGTCCTTGCTAGGAAGTGCAATAGCCCAGTGGTTTAATGACACAGGAGATGTTCCCTGCAGTTCAAGTCCTAGCACTGCGTGGCAGGGTAAGCTCCTGTCACTCACCTCAACCCCTGTCCACCTAGCAGTTCAAAAGCATGTTCTATGCGAGCAGATAAATAGATACCATTTCAGTGGGCAGATGAGTTGGTGCTCCATACAGGCAGTCAAATTCCTGCCAGCTCTGAACCTTCCTGGTTGCAATGCCCATTGGCAAGGCAGCTCCAGGGAAGGGAGGTGGCTTTGTATGACACTGCAGGAAGAGCAGCTTGTCTTTTTTTTCTTGTGCGAAATCAGGTTGCCTTCCTGTGATGTAGCTTGGGAAGCATGTGAGCGTGCCCTACATCAGAGCTGATAATTGGCAGCCAAACTACTACTCTGCATTGTGGTCTCTTGGCTAATGTAACAATGCCATATGCTAATAATAATAATATTCCTGGGTTGCTCTGAATCCATCTTCATTGTCAGCAAAGGGCAGCAAATCTATTATTCCAGGTGTTTACCTGTGAAACTATCTGACAAAGCTTCATTTAAAAAAAAAATGGTTGCCTAAGGCACTGAGCAACATGATTCTTCTCTCTTTTCTATTTCAATGACTTCTTTGCTTTTATTATTTCCATGTGTAGAAGGTAATTGGACTGACTTCAATGTTGGCAATAGGACTTGACGTCTGGCTCAACTATGGCCATTAATCTACTTTAGGGAATTCAGGTTACGCTTGACAGCACACACAGCTCTGTCATTGCTGCATCTGCTCTTTGAAATGATAGCCTATTGTATTTAATGATTAAGCAGTAGGTGCAGCATTCTCACAAATATTTTAACAAATAATGTGTGTTGAAATGATCCTGTATCTATCTGCTCAGCTTTGGAGAAAAAAAAAAAGGAAAAAGTGTACGTCAAACCAAAACAGTGTGAATGATAGTGTATTCAATCTAATTTAATGGGGTTTCCTTCCATGTAGATACATGTTAAGGATCAGAGCACAAATACATTAACTGAGAGTTGTGTGTAGCTTGCATCCCAGTATAATATGGAGTATTAGTTTAAAAACATTAAGTAGGCCCTCAAGGCAGTTGACAACAAAATACATATATAACATATATAACAGGAACATTATAATTAAAACTTAAAACTAGCACCAGTTAAAAAATATTCACAGTATCTATTAGATTAAATTGTTTGTTTCTTGCTTTGAAGAATATTTCAAAAATATGTCTATTAGTCTTCTAAATCAGTCACTAATTCCTAAGTGTAAATTACTCCAATGTCTCTAATAGCTTTTGTTGTTGTGCTAATGGATTGTTTCCAAGGATTCATAGCATTTAGTAGACTAATGAATATAGTGAACATAGTATTACTGCAGTGATAAGTGGCTGTAAAGCTTTTTGTTTTCTTGCCATACCATTTCTTATGTTTGACAATGCTCTGAGGGCAAAGAATAAATGAGTAAGTCACATTTTTCAATTTTCATTTTCAACCCTATTTAGCAATGTCTTATCCATCCGTTCTTAACACACTCATCTTAGTACTTATGTGAGTCTTGTCTACTTTGCAAGACTGTAAGAAGGAACTGTGTGTAACCAAACTCTTGTTAATAAGTGTGAATAAGCCATTATAAAAAGAATTTTCTTCACACTTGACATAAGATACAACACTTTTTAATGGGATTGCTCACAGATGCAGCACCAGAAGAGAGATGATCTTTACCTGTATCTGTATATGCCAACATTTGCAGATCATCCTCATCCTCATCATATCATCTTGTTCCTTTTTCTACTTTTACATAAATTACATATGCAGTTAAGCCAGAGCTGGATACATTTTTCAACCCAGCTGAGCCAACACAAATGCCATGAATACATAATCCTAAATTAATGGAGGAATGCAAATATTAAATATTAATATTACTAATAACGACAATACTGTTTTACCTTCAAATACATAATTCGCTTTTGCAAAAAGTATTGAATGCAAACTAACAACCACATAATCATAACATGCCTAAAATTCAATTGCATTTCAAATTCAGGCACTACATTTCATGGTTTGCTGCCTTAGACCCATTCCAATGGGTCATTGTACTTTCAAAATGAGGTTTCATATTATTACTAACAGCCTTTTCTGAATAATCAGCAACCGCAGTGTCCCTAATCAGTTAAAAGAGTTTTAAGAAAATGAACATTGCTATTGAAATTTAATTTCATTCCTATAGCTGCTATGTCACTATGAATGCAATCCAACATTTGAGGTTAAAGCAGATTTTAATAAAAAATTCCCACATGTCTTTGTGGGAATTATCTTGATAAAGACAAAAATATAATTCAAATCTGACGCTTTGACCATGGTGAAATCATCCCCTAGTTTGGATAACATTTACTATCATGGACCTCTGGAAGGTGGAAGGATTGATTAGCATGGTCCACCCTATACAATATTATGAATCCAGAGAATTTGTATGGATTTTCCAGTATCCTAGCAGATACTGATCAGATGCTTGATTTTATTGATTCCTTCTACTATTGGATTCTGATGTATTTCTTGGTTTAATGGGGAACTCTAAGAGATATAGTGGCAGAAACAATGCTGGGAACATTAAAGGAAGTTGACAAACTGTAAACGTGATGAAACATAAGACAAACTCATGTTTGAGCCTACCCTATTGGGTAAAGACAGTGAAATGTTAACACTCTTGACATTATTGTCTAGTGCTATCTGGTGGGCCTCTTTACAGCAGTTGAATCACACTAAAGAAAAATAGAGAAGCCACTTCGTGGCCACTGTGATACATTTGCACTTTTTGTGATCTTAGTCACTCAAATTTACCAGAAACTTGACTCCTCATGGGCAGGAATGAAATGGTATAGAATGGTGACTTGCAGTTAGCTAGGATTCATTTCAGCTTGTGTATATGCTCTTTGGCATGTACTCTGTTCTCTATAGTTTACAGCTCATATGAGGACCCAGATTGTTGGGGGCAATAGGCAATAGGCAATAGGCTGACTCTGTAAACTGCTTAGAGAAGGCACTGTGAAGCAGTATATAAATCTAAGTGCTACTGCTAGAGAACCAGTAGCAGAAATTTTAAGTAGTTCGAAGAACCGGTAGTAAAAATTCTGACTGGCCCCGCCCCTATTTATTCTCTGCCTCCCAAGTGCCAGCTGATTGGGAGGAAATGGGGATTTTGCAGTAGCCTTCCCCTGGATTGGGGATGGAATGGAGATTTTACAGTATCCTTCCCCTGGAGTGGGGTGGGAATGGGGATTTTGCTGTATCCTTCCCCTGCCATGCTCACCAAGCCATGCCATGAAGCCATGCCACGCCCACGAAGCCACACTCTCAGAACTAGTAGTAAAAATTTTTGAAACCCATCACTGACTCTGCTCCTTTCTCAGAGAATGAATCCAATAGGTGGAACTGCGGGTAGGGGGAGGGAAGACAAGTCTAGTTTAACAAATCTTCCTTTGTAGATTTGTGCATTTTTCTTGTTACATTTAATATCTACAAGGCCCTGCTGGGAAAGGTTCAGTTCAGGGTGAGATATCATCAGGGGGTTGATGAATACTCAACCATGCATCACTGCCCCTTGTACGCCAGAGATGTCACAGAATTCTTGACCTATTGTGGAGGTTATGGCCTGAATGAGGCAAAGCTTTTACCTTAAAAATAAGCAGTTGCCATTTTCCAAATATTATCTGATTCTTTGCTCATTATAAATCAGAGAGTGGCACTATCCTTGAGGTAACACTCTACAACAGGGATCCCCAACCCCTGGCCCATGGACTGGTATCAATCCACGGCATGCCAGGAACTACACAAACAAATGAAGCCCCATCTGTGGGATACAGGCAGAACATGAAACCATGCCCTCTCTGGTCTATGGAAAAACCTTCTCCACAGAACTGGTCTCCCTGGTGCTCAAAAGGTTGGGAGCCATTGGTCTACAATACAGGTGTCTACCAAGTGGCTCTTGTAAGAATAGGTGAAGGCCATACCAAGTGGACCTATGTGGAATGACCAAGTAATGGTAACTCATGCCCTTGTTACGACTAGGAATGATTAATGAACTGTGCTCCATGTGGGGCAATCTTTGAATACTAGCCTAGAATTGCAAGTGGTACAGAATGCAGTTACTCATATGCTGATGAGTAAAAGCCACTTCAACCATGTGACACATGTATTGCAGCCATTATGCTGGCTTCTGATAGGCTCCCAGGAACAAGTTTTACCAACATAGCTTTGCACCTAGATAATTGAAGGATCATGTTCTCGATACAGAATCCTTCCATTACGCTTATCCCAGCTGGATGTGTTGACAATTAGTATATGAGAGGTCAGATCAGGACTCGAGGTGGTATTTTGTATGAAGACACCAAACTTATGGAATACCCTTAACAATGGAGAGTAGAGTGGTACCAGCTTGAATTTCTTCAGTAGTTAAAATTGAGCTATTCTGCATGACCTTTGAGAGGTAGTGTCATTTAATAAAGGTGGGTGCCTTTGATTATGAGATTTGAAATGGATATTGTTTTAATTGTTATTCTGTTATTTATTCTGGTTTTAATATATGTTGTTTTATAGCTCTGTTGTGTTTTATCTCTGTAAATCACTATGAGTCACAAAATTTAGCAGTATATTAATTTAATAAATAATCAAATAATCACAGATCAGTGTCAAGCCATTTCATTCAATTACTGGGATGGAAATGGTGGTGGTGTGGAAGTACCCTTTAAATTTTTCCAGAGGCTTACATTGATCTTCTTGTAGAATGCCCCATCTACTGGTCATATGAACACTTCCAAATCTATCTCACATAAAATGATAATATATGTCCCTACAAAAAATGTCCTGATTTGCAAATGTCCTGAGACAAAATCCAGATCTGAAGTGTGACCCTCTGGTTCTTGTTGACCTTCAGTAACCTTGGATAGGTTTATGGCTGACCTGAAAGCCACAAACTCCTGAGATCATCTGGCAATAAATGGAAGCCCCAAGGATAGGCTTTCCAAAACCACCCCAGCAATAGAATTCAGCAGGTCAGACAGTGCTCTTAATGTACAGCAGCAAGGGTGAAACATTAGCAACAATCCCAAATGTTTCCTCAGACTCAGCATCAATCTGAGAGCCTCACATGCAGTTATTTACTGAGAAAAACGTAGAAGTGTCCAGTCTTAGAAGTGAATTCTGCTGTGGGAACCATTTTACATTTCAAGGAAACTTCAAGGGGTGCTTAGTTTGAAGTATAATGAAACATCCCTTTAATGGTTTGTGTAAACCTGGCAAGAACCTTTTATGAGAACATATATGAATCTGTGGATCTTATACATACAAAAGACTTTTTTTGATTTTCTGCACCCATAACAATTTTATACTGGAAAATCAGAATGTGGAGATGAATCCCCAAATCCTATTGGAAATCAATGAGTTCAGGTGGTAAGAATTTTTTTTTAAAGTTGTTCTGCATTGTTTCCCCCATGAAAAAAGCTTAGATAACTGAAATAATTTAATACAGTCATAGCAAACAGCAGAGCAAAAACTAGACTATTCCTGTTCATGGTTATTATTTGCAAAACTGTAATTTCCCGTTCCTAAATGAGGCTGATGGGTGCTGTGAAAAGAAAAACTGGTAAACAGCATGATGAGAAACTGCAAGAAGCAAAATATGACTTTAATCTGGATAAGTCAGAATTTTAAGTTCTTCTAATTTTCTCTATTTAACATGGATTTTTGTGGGAAGTTAACACGAAGCAGCAGCAGAAAAACAAGTAAGATTAAAAATACAAGACAGAATTTTATTAAAAAATAAAATTCTGTGGGTAAGAATTAATAGAAAGTATATAAAATATTTTAAGTCCTCACCTCAATTTCTAAATTATTATATCCTTTTAAATATGTTTATATTGTGTGAAGATTAGATCTGCAAAGATCCTTCAAAAAACTTGTTCTAGATGTAGTTCCTAAAAATCTTTATTGTTATTGCTATTTTAGTAGCAGGCATAAACATAATAAACATTAGTTGCCCAGAATCACCTGGCTGACTTGGGCAGCTATAGAAATTGAATTAATAAATAAATAATTTAAGGGTAACATATTCTAGACTGCTGAATAGAACTGCAGGGACCTTTGACTATTTTTTCTGATACCTGTTATTATCCTGATCCTTAATTTCCTTTGGGGAATTGGGGACTCTACCACATCTGTCAGCAATAGAGAAGTAGGTACACAAAATGGTAGGAAAATAAATTCTGAAATATGAATTAGAAGAAGACAAGAAACAGCACTTAACACAAGCAGAATTAATAGTGCTCATCATGTCCCATAGCAAAAGGTACATTAATTGCCATTAAAGCTGAAAATGTTCAGTAATTATTTCAGAAAATGCTCAGGCTTCTGATTTTAGTATTATACAGAACTGTAATGAAAATATCTGCTTGAATACTCATCTTTTCCAAATGTCTTGTACATCATAAGTTAGTTTCAGAATATTTGACAGTTAATAATAAATTAGTAATTACGTTCAGTACAGATGCAGACTCAAAGTGAAATTTATTATAGCTGCAGACTCAAAATAAAATGTATTATATGGAAATAAATTATCTTAACCAATTATTGTTGATTTATTCTTATTTGGTGTAATTGAAAAATCAACTACAGAATCTACTGTTTTTCTCACTATGGTTCACTAAATATTTACTGGACACCCAGTGAACCAGTTTGGTGTAGTGGTTAAGGTACCAAGCTAGAAACAGGGAGATTATGACTTCTAGTCCCACTTTAGCACAAAGTAGCTGGATGACTTTGGATCAGTCATTCTCTCTCAGCCCTCAGAAGGCGGCAATGGAAAACCACTTGCCAAGAAAACTACAGGAATAGTACCAGAAGTCAACACTGACTCGAAAGGACAAACGAACGAAAATCAGCACCTTATCCAAAGCCACATTTCTAATAATAAAGCATTCTGAGCTCTGTGCCTGAAGGGATGAATGCCAGTTTCGCATTCCCTCACATTATTTTTATCTTATTTCAGTTTTATAACAACTGGTTTAATAAAGTGCATAACCAAATGTCTATGGAGATTCTCAGTCATCCAGGTCATGGTTGACTCAAAGATGCTTTTTCAAGAAGCAACTGGACTTTCTTGTTTTTCTTTGAAGACGTTTCGCTTCTCATCCAAGAAGCTACATGCGTTCAAAGAAAAACAAGAAAGTCCAGTTGCCTCTTTAAAAAAGCACCTTTGGGACAACTGGTTTAATATTTGAGAACAGCTGCTTCAAAGTGTCATCCACATACATTTGCACATACATGCCTGACTACTTTATTCATACCTTTCATATCCTTCTGTCAGAAAATCAATATCTGAGTGAACATGTTTACATCAGACACTGAAAAATGTCAGATGGTTTAAGATTCTGCACATATGCTTGACTGTAATCAGCAGACATCTTTTTCTTGGTTCTGCTAATCAAAATTCAAAATCACTACACGGTACGTGAAGTGGAAATAAGTCTAATTGTATTAGCATAGGCATTACAATGTAATTTTCATAAATAAGAGTTTGCCTTGATTTATACCTACTTCCACTGAACCTTCTTTATCCACTGACTTGACTAGAATGATAGGTTTAGTATGAACTACTACACCTATTAAATTGCAGCAATTACATCATGGCCTGCCATTTGAGACTGCTGTCTACTAGGAGCAGTGACTGTGCAACTCTTATGTAATTGTCACATAATCCTGGGGTAAGATTGTCTATTTCGAAAAGTTGCAGACCAGGATTTTATAAACTACGGAAGTATAACTGAAGTATAATTTAAAACGGGACCTGAAAGACTGCACAACCTTATTGCATGTTGAAAATATATTGTGGGCTGCTCAAATTCGACTGTTAAGACTTTCCAATTGGCAGAATGCTGATTTATAATCACTTACAAAAAGCCGATGAAAACCAAAATGATAACTGCAAGCCTTCATCCCTTTTTCCTATGGAGGTGCACTGCATACCAAAGCTTTTCCCCTTCGATTCGCGTCTAGGATTCATCGCTGCGATTTCTTGGTAGTCTCACATCGACCCCACAGCCCTGAATAATTTGGCAAAATGCTGCCGCTTGTTAAACCGGTGAGAATGACCACTTAATAAAAGGTTGCGATTGTAACTACAATGCACCACTCTGGGTGAGGCTGGAGTCCAAAAACACCTTTCGCTGTTAAGTTGAAAATTGGTCACCAAAGATTCAAACGCACAAAGAACACTCTTTGGTGAACAACCGCCCCCCCCCAACACCACCACACCGTTGCTGAGCAACTCCGACCGCCGCTCGAGGGCAGCAATGCCTCTAGCATCGCGGATAATGCAGCCGCGTTCTAAATTCTAAAGACGCGCTGGGCTGGGGAATTCTGGGAACTGAAGTCCACGCATCTTAACGTTCCGGAGGTTCAGAAACGCTGTTCTTTTCACGCCCACTTAGCGGCGTTTGCGCCTGCGCGCCAGCCTTCGCTTTCCGAACGGAAGTTAATAATCCTGTGTCAGACCGGCTTGAATCGGTGGCCGGTTCTGTTTCCGGAGGTCATCGCGTCCGCCGACTGAGAAGAGGGTCTTACGAACCGCGCTTGTGTGACACGGCTTTACGATGAGCTATGAGAACCGCCGGGCTTGGGGCCGCAGGGACGGGCCCCGCGCTTCACAGTCGTCGTCCTCTTCTTCTTCTTCTTCCAGCGGTGGCGGAGGGGGCGCCGGCGGCGGCAGAGGGGGCGCCAACCGCGGCCGACCTCCTCCTCACCTGAAGGGCCGCGAGATTGGCTTATGGTACGCACGGAGACAAGGCGAGAGAAGCAAAGAGGCCGAGAGGCAGCAGGTGGGTGATGGAAAAAGAAGAGAAGGAGCGGAAGAGCTCAGTTCTCCTCAGTTTGCGATGCGGGATATATAGGCCTTCGCCTCAATCAAGGCCGTTTCTCTCGGTAGACTGCGGAGCCTTGGAAGTACGGCGAGGAGTTCGGCTGAGGGGCAGGGAATTGCTGCTGTAGAAACGACGGTGAAGTATGCCTTGAACGTGGGGGACTCTTCAATTTATCTCTGGGCTTTGAGGTTCTCATATTCTTTGAAAACGGAAGGAAAAAAAAAACTGTTATCTGTTTTCATGAATAGTGGAATACCTACATCAAATAACATTTTTGTGATTATTAGAGCACAAGTTTATTAGAATCCTACACTAACATAGTTGTGGGTGTGTAGATAGACAGATAAGACAGACAGGCAGACAGAGGTAGAAGTTCATTATTTGTCATTTTTCCTAAGCAAAAGAAACTTCAATTATTACCTTTGAACCTCTCTGTCCCAGCTCTTTGATAAATTGGATTATTCTCTCCTTTTACTTTAGTTTATTTTATTGTCATTGCGCCTCGTAATGTAAATCTCTCTTTTAGGAGATCCTTCTTTGTGCACCGTATCAAGTTGAACATAGTAAAACAAATGTGCTTGTATGATGATATTGTCATGCAGTTTTAGTTTGTGGTTCATTCATCATGTGGAATTAACTCTTCAACTCCTTTTTGTTTGATGTCTTTGTTAATCTGTGGTATTTGTCACATTGTTATACAATTGCATTGTTTTTAGTATGCCACTCAGACACTTCTAGCATACCGTGTTTCCCTGAAAATAAGACCCT